CCCCAGCCGGCTTGCCAGAGCGCGGGGCTCCGCGGCGGGCGAGGCGCGCAGTGGGGCAATTGCGGGGGCTTCGCGCCATTGTGCTCGGGAGGCTCTTCCCCCGGCCTGGAAGAACTGGGTTGGGGCGGGTTAGTAGCGCGGTGCCCCCCCCAATGTGTCCGGCCTCCCCGCCCGTCCGCCCGCGCTCTCCTGCTACCCAGGGGCGCGGGGGGAGACACCCGAGCAAACATTCCCACGCGCCCCCTGGGGGGAGGAAGCCGCGGGGGAGGGGGCAGCCCCTTCCCGCGCTTGCCTCCGGGATGGAATGGGCTGCCTCTGGAATATTCATGCGCGCGCTAATGTGTTCCCCTTGCAGCGCGGTGCGCCTGGGTTTTAAGAGTCCATTACGCAGAAAGCATAAGGCGAGGTTAGGTCTCAAAGGGGGACAAATATGGTCTCAATCTGATAAACGCCATGCAGCAGTGAATAAAATAATGGCTGCATGAGGGCTGACAGAACAAAAAGAGACATCTCTATCCGGGAGAAATTCTCCAGTGATTTAGTGGGTTTAGGGATCAGGGACACACTGTTTCTTATCCCCCCTCCTCCTTATAAGACTAAAGCCTTCTATAGGATTTAGACACTTTCTCTTTCAACAGATGCTACAATGTTTTGATCCCAGCTCTGCAGCTGAAAGGTGCCGCAATTGGGTTGCTATCTTTTTTGGCTTGTTTTCCGCCTCACTGATTAAGACACTAAGAAACTAAGGAATGATTTTATTTCCCAGAGTCTTTTTTCTTCTTCTTCTTCCAGGAAACAAATCCTACACCCAGCGTCAGATGGTCTAGCGATAGGATAATGGGACGCACATTCAGTCGCTTTCTTACGGATTAGGTCTAGAAGGTGGAACAGCTTATTGAGAAGGTTTCTAAAAAGGCCTCGTTTTAAAAGAAGACATCTTAATTGTCTGACCCCTTTAAAATCATATTTGCTACTCTATGGCGAACCTTTAGTTCAATGCATAGAGTTTTATAAGCACAAGTTTGGGAAAGGGAAGCGAATCAAAGCTAAACTTCCCATGGGTGGCAAGAAAATACTTTTTTTTAAGACTGCATAAAGCCTTTTAGTAAAGCTTTAGAGGAAAAATAGAGACTTTTCCTGAAAAAAACAAGAGATTTTTCTCTTGAAATCACTCAATATTTAAGTTTAAGATTGAAAACTACAGTTTATTATTGCAAGAGCAAGGAGTATGTTCAGTTATCTCAAAGTGAGCTGTGTTTTTGCACAACAAGGCTTGGACATGAGGGAGGTTGTGCATTTAAAAACTACTGACAAATCACACTGGTTTTTGCTCGCTCTCCAGCTGAAATGAAACGAATGTGCGATATAGCCTTTTAAATTATCAAGACAGTGCCGCCAGGACTCGGGTCGTGCCGCCAGTCGTAACTTCAGGTGGCTAGAAATAAACCAGAAAGAAAGGGATTATTAACAAAAAAACAAACAACAATTATTTGAAGACATCGCTCGAGCTTTGCCAAAGAAACAGAGCTGAGTGTGCAGCCTTTTAGAAAGGCACCTTCTCTAGTTTCCATGAATGTAAGCATCTTCCTTCCACTTCTGAGGGTTGGAAGTTTGGCTTCTTCGGTAAACAAGGGTCGGTTTAAAAGTTTGCCTTGGAAAATGCTGCTGTTTCTTAACAAGCAGGGGGAAGTAGCTAAGCTAACTGAAGCTTTTCTACCCCCTTCTCCTCAAATAAAACCTAGGGTATGAACACACAAGTCCTTGCTTGGGAAACACTTAAAAAGTCACCAAGCAACTTTCACTAGTAAATAAAAACAGACCCTTGTGCTCTAATATGTTAGTTGAAGCTTATCTAATCTTGGCTAAGTAGTTTTCTCTCTTTCTGGTGTTGAGTAAACAGGCTCAGTGTATAGAGATGTCCTATTCACAAGTTTAGGGGTGTTCTTTCTTTCTCTTCTCCTATAGAAAGTAAAAATCCTAACTAGCATTGAGTAGTCCAGCCCAGGGGACAGTGATTAATGATAGTAGTGCATAAAGGTTAACATACTTCACTGAAAAGTCTGTTGACTGGGATCCTTGTGATACAATGTGGACCACTGCACGCCTCAAGAGAATCTTTTTGTTGTCCGCCCTGATTGTGTCCTCAAAATTCTGCCCACGAAAGTTTGCCAACCCTCCTGCCCCAAGAGTTTAATAGTTTCCCTTACTCTGCTGGCATTGTGTACTGGTGAAAAGCAGCCCTTTTCTATTCAAGTGTTGGTGGTCATCTCAATAGATCTACAAACGCCCATATGGTGACCACTGTAGATGAATCCAACTGTTTAAATGGGGAAGAAAGTTTGGGTTTTAAAACATTTCAAAGTGTTTGAAAAGATCCTACCAGATTCTGTCACAATTCGCTTAAAGCTTTGAAGGCTGTGCCTATTGTTAGCTGATTATAAATGATATTACTTTAAAGTTGATTTCCCACAATATTTAAAGGATGTAACAGGACTGTTGCCGTTTATTTTGAAGCATAACTTTTAGAGCAAATTAGCATAAGTAGCCCTTGCCTCCTTATTCCAGCTTTCATTTAGAAACATCAAAACCTGGTGAAAAAATGCTCTGAAGAGAGAGGGAGAGTTTATTTAGTGATAACTTCCTTGCCTTAAAAGAAATGTCCATTCCTTTTGCAAACCTGAGTTTGGCGCAGACACTTTGAAAGACAGCTAGACCAAGTGCACATCTTTCCATCCTACAGAAATGTGAAAACAATAAAATTTCCCCTTGTTTAATGATAGAAATTACATTAAAAGTGGTGGAAATGCCCTAATTAAAAATGTACCACTTAAATGATATGCCAAATGTTCAGCTGCAGCATAGCATATTTAGCTAGTTAGTGAACTCGCTACTATTTCTTTTAAAATTACATGTTAAATTTTTTAAAAGAAATCTTACTTTTCTCTGGTGCAACACATTACAAAGAATGGACAGTCCTTTTATCTAAATATAAAATTCCATTTTCAGCAATTATAGCCTGTTCTTGGTGATGATATAATTACAGCTGTGCTCAGTAATAGGTGTCAAGGCAATGCACACTCATACAATAGTTGAATAAAACTGCAGAACAATGCAGGCACTTCTAAATTCACAACCTTTAAAATGAAATTGACTGTGCAGAATTCAAATAAAAACTGGATAAATATTTTTTAAAAAAGATTACAAGCTTGGTTTGGTTTCTTAATAGCATTTTCTACAAACCTATCAACATCTAATTGATTAGATAGGAATTACTGATTATAGATAATCTGAAATACTGAACATCACCATTTTAAATATAGCAATAGGTAAATAAATTCTGCAGAGAAAGGAGACTGGCATGGCATAGCTTTTTAGTACAGATTCAATATGAAGAATAATTTTCACTGGAATGATTTTATGCCTCTCTTATTCCAGAGGGGGGAAAATATAAAATGTAATTACATTACAGTTAGGGTTTTATATCAAATATTTATGGTGAGGTTGAAAAATAAAATGCTATTATATAACTTATGTCACCAGTGAACTTTCACTTTGACATTTTAAGTATGTTTAAGAAAAGATATCAGCAAACATGGCTGACCTGGTTTATTATGGTATATTGCAACTATAAGAAACTGACAGTTGGGTGAAATTTGTTTTAATTTCCTGTTCTGATTGTTGCAGATGGCTGTCCACAACAGGAAGGAGGAGGTGAAAACACAAACTCCATTAGCTCTAATGGAGAAGATTCAGATGAGGCCCAGATGAGACTTCAGCTGAAAAGAAAGCTGCAGAGAAATAGGACATCCTTTACCCAAGAGCAAATTGAAGCCCTTGAGAAAGGCGAGTGACATTTTCAAGCTACTAAAATCGGAGAGGAAAGCAAAATGCATCCTGGTTATGTTCAGAGCTAAATGGAAGAGGGCATTCACAGGCATTTATATACACAAATAGAAAGCTCCATAAAAATCTATGCTTCCCAAGCTTCAATTTTTTTTAGCAGGCTGACCTGATTTTTATGGTATTCATCATTGTAGTATCTGAACAGTTGTAAGAAGTTTTATTTTAAAGGAAAAATGCTTTAAGGATACCCCGAGCACAATACAATTAATTATATTCACAGCTCCCCACTTCATCCCCTCATTACATACACACCAACTTTCCTAAAGTCACAGTGGATAATGTGCATGCTGGCTGGCTGGGAGTTACAAAATTCCCAGCTGCTACTCACCCCATCCTCACCGGAGGTCACACTGTGACAGGCCCAGAGGGTTTGGAGTGAGGACAGAATCACCTTATAGGTGCTGCACAGGCAGCATACATCTGTGTGCCAATCCACTTCCTGCGAGCTGACTCACTGCCTGCTTTGAGCCCCCTCTGACCATGGTCCTGGAATCCTGACACTTCCTGAAAAATATTATCATTGGGCCTAGTCCCATGAATTCTTACTCATGTGATCTCAGTGGGGATGTGTATGTGAGTATGGCACAATAATTGCCCCATTTCCAGCACACACAAACGTCAACTTCATTTTTACATGATTGTCTGGTGGAATATATAGAGCATGAAAAAGCTAAGAAATGACCTGATGTTTCAAAGGTAGCTCTGATAAGTCATTAAAACTTCGTTAGGGCTAATGCAACATTGTTTCTTTTTTCCCTCAGAATTTGAGAGAACCCATTATCCTGATGTGTTTGCCAGGGAGAGACTAGCTGCCAAAATAGACCTACCTGAAGCAAGAATACAGGTATTCACATCCTTGTGCCATTGATTTTTGTATGTGACTAACTTCAAAATACAAGGAAGCCACTGATGTTGATCTAACATTTGTGCATCTACAGCTTTTCAAACATAAGCAACAGGAAGAGGTTGGCTTATACTGAATGGATTGTTCCACTCCAAAGAGGCTGTATGTTAGCATTGTGCCAGGACATGTAGTGAATGATAGGTGGCCACACAGGTATAATCTTACCTATGTAATAATTTTAAAACTCTTTTGTTTTCAGGTGTGGTTTTCCAATCGGAGGGCTAAATGGAGAAGGGAAGAGAAACTGAGGAATCAGAGAAGACAAGCCAGCAACACACCCAGCCATATTCCCATCAGTAGTAGTTTCAGCACAAGTGTCTACCAGCCAATCCCGCAACCTACCACACCTGGTAATCTATGCAATACATTCGTATACATTCATCTTTTTAGGGAACTAACAAATAGTCTTCTGAATCTACATACCAACTGTTATTCCAGCTTAAACTAATGTGTTCATCTCCTATTTATCTATTTTATTGTAGTTTCCTCTTTCACATCAGGTTCAATGTTGGGCAGAACAGACACTGCGCTCACAAACACATACAGTGCTCTGCCACCCATGCCTAGCTTCACAATGGCTAACAACCTGCCTATGCAAGTAAGTAATATACTAGGTTGTCTCTCAGATATGTGATTAACAGCCAGATCCTCAACTTGGTGCGCGAAAAGGCCTCTTAGAAGTCAGTGGAGTTTGGAATCTTCAAGGAATGCAGAGACAGGCCCCCAGTAAGAATTAAGAAAGAGGTTTTGAAAGGCACAAAGGGCAGTTGGGGGCCCTGTGCAAGGGAATAGAAACTGAGAATATAATGTACCCATGTGTCTTTGAAAGTATTTCCCTTCCAGTTCAATTAGGAAAAAAAGGGGAAATAGCAGCAATAACGATTGGTGGAGTGAGGAGAAATGTAGACTATGATTATATAGTTTGAAAAGGAGAAGAATGGGAAGGAATATAGTTAAGTTCTATCAGATAATGAATGGCATTGTATGGAGAAGGCCAATTGCACTCAATATTAAAAGGCAACAAATTAAAATGAAAATAACTGTTTCAAAAATAAGAAAATTAACCCGTGGGACACCGTGCTGCAGTATTATTGAGGCAAAAGACTTAGTAAATTGCTAAAAGGACTAGATTTTGACTACTAATTTGCTATGGCTATGGGCACACTAGGAACACCTAAGAGAAAAAGATGTGATTAGCAACTTGAATTATGCTAGCTGAATTATGATTCCATGAGATGTTGATCCTCATGCCAGAAAGCATAAAGTGATCACCGGTGGGGTTAGGAAGGAATCTATTCATCTGGGGACTTCTTTACAGTTCTTTCAGATGCACAATGTAATTTTTAAATGATGGGGGTGGGAGCAGGGCATTGTATGTTATTGGCTAGTTGTGAAGGTTTTATTGCTCTGTCTGAAGCATAGAGCATTGACCAGTGTGGCAAACAGAATATCAGATTAGGTGGTCAATATGTCTATTGAAGTGCACCAATTACTATGTTACTAGTTTCTCATAATCAACCAAATGAAGTTTTCTGCTGCAGGCAGAATCCCTTAAACATGTAGAAAAATGAAGAAAACAAAACCCTGTTATTTATTGATATCTGAGGCCTTTGGTGCAATTCACCTCAGTCAGCAATGCATTTTGGGAGTGCAGGAGTCAGAGACCCTCTTAAACGTCATTCCTCTTTGGGCTTGTCATTTACAACAGAGGCAAAATGTTAGGCACCTAACTCCCTTGAACCCCTTTGAAAACACAAGCCTCAATAGTCATTGCAGAGGGAGGATGGCATAATTCAAAAAGTAGCTGACTCACTGAAATGAATTTGTAAGTGGATTGCACATTTTGTCAGCTTTAATCATATAAGACTATATGTTCTGCCATGTCATATTTTATGTACATCATCTTCTTGGCAAATCGGGTGTAGATGGGGTGCATGCATTTAAAGATTATATGCTTGTGTAGTGCAAGGTTTTGTTGGAATGAGTTTGGGACCAATTGTATTTGCTATGAGGAATACAATGACATGGCTACCAGAAAGAACTACACTGGAAAAGTGTGTGTGTGGTTATTTCTCATTTGCATCAGTGTATGTGACAGCAGAATTGGGCCACACTCAAGTTACCTGTGCATGCAAAGATCATAAGGGCCTGCTCCTCTGCATAAGCAACATCAAAGCCAGCATTTCAAGGTTGGGTGCTGAAAGCTAGTATCTAAATCCATCTATTTAGGCACTTAGATAAAATGGCCTAATTTGTTTGTTCTTATGAAAAAGAAGCTAGGTTCTCTGAAACTTCTATGTGCTGGTAGATCCCACTAGAGGAAACTGAGATTTCAAATAATTTAAAATTACTAGATCTGTAACATTATTTTGTCCTTTTCCCCCACAGCCCCCAGTACCCAGCCAGACCTCCTCCTACTCTTGCATGCTGCCCACTAGTCCGTCAGTGAATGGGCGGAGCTATGATACGTACACACCTCCTCACATGCAGACACATATGAACAGCCAGCCAATGGGAACCTCTGGAACCACTTCAACAGGTAGATTTCCATTATTATCTTCTACAAAGAACATTTCCCATAGCTTGGTTTCTCCAGTATCCAACGCTGTCTTTCTTTAAAACTAACCTTCATTTCATGCTAACCATCTGGCTGCAAAAGGGCCCAAACTTGTTGCTGTTGGCTTAAGTAGCAGCAGGATTTGGCCAAATGCCAAAATGTAAAACCTCCATTGACTTTTTTGGTGTACACTGAAATCTCATTTTAAGTTACAAATGAAGGGAGAAACAAAAATGGTTGCTTGAAGGAAGTGTCCTTCTAATGAAGGTGCTAGAAAATTGTTCTCAGGATGGCCCTAATCTTGCCAAACACTTAAACATGGGATTAACATTATTACTGCATGTATTTCCATTGACTTTAATGGGATTGCTACTTTCAGTAGTAAAGTTAATCATGTGTGTAATGTGTCTGGGCCTACATTTGCAGATACTATGGGGCAGAGTTTTAAGACATGAAATTGTCTATTAGGCTATTCTCGTGTAGGATTTTCAGTGTATCTATAAGGGAAACTAATTGAAAAGAACAAATCATCTCTTGCAAACAGGAGTAAATTAGACACATTTCTGAGAATAAAAAAGCTTGATAGTGAAAACTTTTATATGTTTTGGGACAGATTCTCATCTGGTGTAAATAAGTTGAGAATTTGGCTTTTTTTATCTTATGAATTAAATGTATTTGTAATAACAAATCAGTTCTATGTGATCAGAGGACTTTTAAAAACATAGAAATAAATCCTAAGAGTCTGTAAATTGGAAGGTAGATTTTATACTTTCAGGAATACAAGCACAACTCTTTACAATTGTTTTAAAAAATGTGTATGTTGAAAAGTTAAAACAGATATTTTCCTCTCTTTTTCAGGTCTTATTTCACCTGGTGTGTCAGTTCCAGTTCAAGTTCCTGGCAGTGAACCTGATATGTCCCAATATTGGCCAAGATTACAGTAAAACATGTGTTTATTCTGTAAATGACTATATGGACAACAGTTGGATGTTCAGCAGTATTTTATAAAGGAAGAAAGACTTCTGTACTGCAACTGTGCCCAATTCTGTAACACACGGAAAAGACTTTAACATGGACCTTTGTACACTGAAGGCATTATATCAGTTGGAACAAATCTTCATTTTGGTATCCAAACTTTTATTCATTTTGGTGTATTATTTGTAAATGGGCATTTGTATGTTATAATGAAAAAAAAAGAACAATGTAGACTGGATGGATGTTTGATCTGTGTTGGTCATGAAGTTGTTTTTTTTTAAAAAGGAAGCCATGATCAACAAGCTTTGCCACGAATTTAAGAGTTTTATCAAGATATATCGAATACTTCTACCAATCTGTTTATAGATTATGGACTGATGTTCCAAGTTTGTATCATTCCATTGCATATAATTAAACCTGGAACAATACGCACTAGATTTATGTAAGAAAAATATCTGTTGGTATTTCCAAAGGTTGTTAACAGATGAAGCTTATGTGCAAACAAGGGGTAAACGAGAACTTGGATGAAGAAAAGCGTTTGATAGATAAAAGGTAGATTGTGTCTTCGATATAAGCCAATTTGTTTTATGTCAAAATGTAAGTATTTGTCTTCCCTAGAAATCTCCCAGAATGATTTCTATAATAAAGTTAATTTCATTTATATTTGACAAGAATATTCTATAGATGTTTTATACACATTTTCATGCATCATACATTTCTTTTTTGGTCGGCAAAAGTTAATTGTTCTTAGATATAGTTGTACTATTGTTCACAGTCCAATCATTTTTGTGCATCTAGAATTCATTCCTAATCAATTAAAAGTGCTTGCAAGAGTTTTAAACTTAAGTGTTTTGAAGTTGTTCACAACTACATATCAAAATTAACCATTGTTGATTGTAAAAACCATGCCAAAGCCTTTGTATTTCCTTTATTATACTATTTTCTTTTTAACCTCATAGTGTGGTGTTGCAAATTTTGTTACCTTATTAGGTTAACATTATATATTGACTGAGTGTTATTTTGAATTTATTTTCAATTTTCAATAGTGGAGGTCCTCAAGGAAATAACTTCATAGATGTTATGACTCAAGCATGCTGTAATTTGGGTTGAACACATTATAAATTCATCTACATTCAGAGATCTATACAAAAGTCTGCATCTATAACTGTATTTATGGAAGAGGAAAACAGTTTCAATCGGCATATAGATTTGTAATCAAGTGCTAAACGAACTCAACAATATAACAGAATTTTCAATGGGGACTATGCTTTGATGTATGCTGGTCAGTACTTTTGAGATATGTAGATATATATCTTGGCTTTAAAAAATATTTAATTTAGAATGTTTTAAAAAAACAGTTGGGTTTGTAATAAAGGCAAAGTTCTTTTGGAAAGCTAACACCAGTCCTCCATACTGCCACACAGCATAATCTTAGTGTAGTTTTCCACTGAACCTATAACTTGGTTAATATCTCAACATGCTTTATGCGAGGGTTGCTAATGTGGATGTGGGTGGAGAGCGGCATGTCAAGAAATAATGAGAGAAGACAAATCAACAGGCAACAACAATGCAAACTGTGACTGGCTAGTGAAAGCTAAAAACCTTTAGTTATTGGCAGCTAAATCTAAACATTTCCCCATCTATGAAACTGTTTCACCGTAGTCCAGTTGTTACGTGCAAAGCTGCAATGAAGAACAGATGTGATGCTTAAAAAATACACAGCGAGTTTTGAGGCTGTTATAATTTGTGGTCTTGTGCCATCACACACATAAGTAGATACAGAAAACACTTCTCTGTACGCTTAAACTAACAGAAGTTGTGGTGTTGAGTGAATTACTACACTGCTGCCAGGATTAAAGGCATCTAAAAACACAGTCCTTTAGGATAAAGATATACTACATTCAAAGCACATGATTTTAATACAAGAAAATTAAAAATCTGACATAAGCAGAAATGTATAAAAGCTAGACAACGTTATATTAAATCTTCCTTTTTACTGATATGGCTATTATAGTTAATGGTTATAATTGCACAGAAATCACCACTTATAAATAAATTATTGATATAAAAGGGAGATTTTTTTTTGTTTAAAAATTCTGCCATTTAATAACTGTAGCCCGCAGAAATATATATTCTTTTATAGATGGACATCTGAATTTTAAATACAGAATGCATTGAACATGCCTGTAGCACAACAACACACACATACATACATCACACGTGCGTGTGTGCATGCACATGCACACGCACACACACACACTGTGTTTTGATTAGTAGGCATAAATTAGATTACTAGCAGTATAAATGCTAGTCATAGCACCTGTAATTAATTGTGTGTGGGGTTTAGTATGGGAGGTCAAATAGAGACTGTGTGCAGCCCTCCTTAAAAAGACACGACCTGCATGTATATGGTGTCTTTAATATTAGTTAGGCATACGTGTGTGTGATATGGAAACACACACTTTTTTTTACATTACAAATGATGCCCATGTGACAGTACAAGCTTTCACTTAGAGTGTATATGTGTGTGTATTTGTCACACAGGCATCTTTGGTAAAGCGTCAAAAAGCTGAGAATTTACAACCTGGATGGTAGTAGATTACAAAATCCACTGATGATTGAAGCTGGTACTATTTAAAACAAAAAGAGGCTCTCTACTATGCTTATAGCTGGTTCCATTGCTTCACACTGACTCCTCAGGCAGTCTAGGCTTCAGAGTAAAAACCCTGAAATCTCTCTCTCCATCTAATATGAGAAGTGGAGCCGGGGGGAAATGACTGCCATTTTTGCAGTTCCAAATGCCTGGATATCTCACTATCACATTTAGCCTAGTTCTCTTCTCTTACAGGTTGTTCCACTACTGTGTAGTCAAGTCCGTGGCACTAGTCCTGCCATGCAAAAGGATGAACACTCTCTCTCTCTCACACACACACACACACACTGTACAATTATCTTTGTTGCTGTTAATATAGAGTCACCATAGAATTAAAGATGGAATTGTAATGTGGTCTATACAGACAGGCTATGCTCTCGCCAATCTGAAGGACAGTATACAACAACTAGCTGACAGACTGTATGTGGTGCTTATTGCAGTGAGTGTTTGGTTAACCATAGCATGGCGGCAACATTTTCGGCTTCCTAGCGGGTTTTCCTGTCCCTGTAGTTGTGTGTGAGGTGGAGGAGAGGGGGAGGAGAGGTCACAAGGGAAAGATCTGTGGCTGCTGCATGTTAGGGAAAAATGAGGCCAGTCAGTCCCCTGAGCCATGCTTGCCTGGAAGGGCTGCTACACTCTGTGCCAAGAGGCACTGTAGGTTATAGCGATAGTGGAGGATTGCACCGGAGGACATGTGTCTAGTTCTGTCAAGACCCTCTTCCCTAGAATGGGTAGGGGAGTGAATACAACCTCTCAAACTGTGTGAGCGCTAATGCCAGTTCCTGGTTACTTGCTCAAGGGCAGGCTAGACCTCAAAGCACCCAAATATCTAACTAAGCAGAGAAAGCTTTTCTAGACTTTCAGAGAGAGAGAGGGAGAGAGAGAGAATGAGAACTCTTTGCTTCTTTCCCAGGGACTGACTGCATTGAAATCTTCAGTGTGCTCTGAAGAGCCTCTAATGATATTTTTTATTGTCTTTAATGAATCCAAAGTTTCACTTTACCCTTCTACAGATGTATTATCCAAGAAGCCTGAAATGTACTATGGAACATCACTCAGTGTTAATCACATATTTCTGTCAGTCTGATCCAGGCCCATTAGCCATTGGTTCTTATAGGAATATGCCTTTTCTGTTAGCTTAAAAACTCCTTTATTTCATAAGGCCACTTTCTACATAATTTATTAGTCCATCTCGACAGCTCACATGCCATTTCCCATTTATCAACAGAACAAGAATCCGCACGTGAATGCTGGGTTCTTCATACCATATTTTGTAATTTTAACCATTCTGTTCTAGCTAAGATACTGACATCTTCAGTGAGAAGCATAATAACCTAAACAGTTTTACTATAACATTCAGGTCAGTGCCCTTTCATGACTATGTACACAATGGAATCACTTCTGAATCACACTGCTGAGATGCTGCTTTTAATTGTTTAATTGTTTTTAAAGGGAGCCCATGAGTCAAATGGCACCTATTTAAATGAGACAGGAATCATCACTCTCCAATCAGGACTGTAAAATCCAGGGTGAAGGTTGGGAAAAGAATTCCACCATTACCGTAGAAGGTGAGCAAAATAATCCTGGATGATTTCAGGTTAGTTTAGTCCGATCCATGGGATAGGAAATATGTTTTTCAGAGGCTAGAAGTATACTGCTGCAAACAGCAAGCTAGGACGGATGAAGAACTCAGCTCTTGTATCTGTGCCCTCGCCTAGTATTCAGAGCTCTTGGGGTATTTTATTCTGCTTGAGTCGTCATGTCTTATTATAACCAAATAAAATGTACAATTTATAACTTTATTGTAAAGTTATACTTCACTCTGTATTTTCTGGTAGCACAGCATTCACTGGAGACACTTACAAATGCCCTATTTGTTTTGCTAGTTTATTTCCACTTGCCCTTAACACCAACAGGAGTCAAGTATTGCTCCAAGTGTAGCTAAAGAGGCTCCTCTCCTCCATCTCCAGCCCTGTTAGTTCTAATTCAGGCACACAAGGTCATAGCACCGCCTTTCACTTGTCCCTTTCTTAGAAAGAAAACAGCATTTTGCTCAGCCAAGTAATCTGGAAAGAAAGGTTTTCCTGACAAGTGGCATTTCTTAGACTGCTCTGGGTGAGGACCCTTCAGAAAAGTGGCATGGCAGGAAGAGATGTTTCGTATCTTATGAATTTCAGATTGCTGGGCCAAAGAAAATGGACAGTTTGCATTTAAAGGACTTCTCATCAATAAGAGACCTGCTTGGTTAACCAAAAGAAGCCTAATTCGGTAGCTATGTTTTTTAATCACAAATATATGACCCTCATAAAAAAGTGGGGGGCAGGCATGCAATGAGGCCTGGGCAGGCATGCAATGAGGCAATAATATGGGGTAGTAGACTAGGAAAGCACAGCAGAATTGCTCCAACCTGATTGTTTAACTGAACTACTTTTTCCCAATTACGTTTGTTTCCTTGAACTTTCAAGGAATTTGAAACATTTTTCTTATTGTCTATGGCTACGTCTAGACCGGCATGATTTTCCGGAAATGCTTTTAATGGAAAAGTTTTCTGTTAAAAGCATTTGCGGAACAGAGCGTTTAGATTGGCATGGACGCTTTTCCGCAAAAGCGCTTTTTGCGGAAAACCGTCTGTGCCAATCTAGACGCGCTTTTGCGCAAAACAAATCTGAGCTGACTACACTGGCCCTTTTGCGCAAAAGCTTTGCGCAAAAGGATTTTTGCCCGAAGGGGAGCAGCATAGTATTTCTGCAAGAACACTGATAATCTTACATGAGACCGTCAGTGCTTTTGCGGAAATTCAAGCGGCCAGTGTAGACAGCTGGCAAGTTTTTCCGCAAAAGTGGCTGATTTTCTGGAAAAACTGGCCAGTCTAGACACAGCCTATTTGTTTATTTCTGTTGTAGAAATTCCCAGAGACCACTCTGGACTAGACCCTTCCCTCCCCCCCTCCACCATTGTACTGTTCAAACACATATGGAGAAACAGACCTTGTCAGAAGAATTTACAGTATAAGGCCAAGAACCTTCATTCAGCCTAATTCATGTGGCTAGACTGCTGCCCCTGACGGGCTCCATTGCGTTCAATAGGAGTATGGTATATGGGCCCACACTGGGACCTAAATGTTGTGGGTTTGCTTTTCATTTGAAAGAGTTGGAATCTTGTTCCTATTAGCAATGGTGCTAGGCTACGTCTACATTGGCATGATCTTGCACAAGAACTCTTTTGTGGAAGAGTTCTTGTTCAAAAACTCTTCCAGAAGAGAGCATCTACAAAGGCATGTGCATTTGCACAAAAGATGTGCTTTTGCACAAGAGCATCCATGCCAGTGTAGTTGCTCTCTTGTGCAAGAAAGCTCTGATGGCCATTTTAACCATAGGGCTTTCTTGCGCAAGAAATTCATGTTGCCTGTCTACACTGGCCTCTTGTGCAAGAACTGTTGCGCAAAAGGGCTTATTCCTGAGCGGGAGCGTCAGAGTTCTGGCGCAAGAAGCCCTGATTTTATACATTAGAACATCAGTTCACTTGTGCAAGAACTCATGGCCAGTGTAGACAGGTAGCAAGTTTTTGCGCAAGAGCGGCTGCTTTTGCGCAAGATCGTGCCAGTGTAGACACAGCCCTAGAATATAGCTTTGAGTTTTGTAGTCACTTGAGTAGCTGCAATTTAATCATAATCACGTATTGTCAATTTTTTTGGGGGGGAAGAATAAGGGTCTCAGTGAAGCCAATGGACATTTTGCCAAAAACTTCAGTGAGATCAGAGTCTGGTTGTTGGATAGTGTGAAGGTTGAAAATGAGTTTCACTTAGGAAAATTTTATATTAAAACATTAAAGCTTGTAAAATAAGGAAATGAAAAGTTAAAGTTCCCGCACAAATGGTAACTCTGTCCCCTGCTATCCTTTGTCAGTTTATCCCTTCTATATTTTTCACATATCCACCACTCACCTCTTTCTAAGTCTCAGAATACATGTCTGAATTACAGGGCACACAGTGTTCCCTAAGAACGGCAGGGAAGGCTGTAAAGCTTGAGGCTTCTATTGGATAGAGAGGAGAGTTCGTTGCAAAGGATGTTTTCTACTGCCTGTGTCGAGAGAGTGGACAGATGAGGTGTGGCTATGTCAGAAATGTCCACAGTAAAGTCTCTCACTAATGTGGATAGGTAGAAGAGACACACTCAACAAGCCCGGAAATGCACTCTCATCTCTGTCTGATGGGAGCACCATAAGAGTTACACAAAACCAGAAATCATTAGTCTGTTTTAGTTTCATTTTGACTTCAGGAATCTTTCAGACCACACCCACCTCATCACATCTATTATCTTCACCCTAATGGTGAAGTGTAGTGGGCAGCGTATCTGAAATCTTGGGTGGGCAGGAAAGTCACCTGGCTTTCGCTAAGGCAGCTCACTTGGTTTTGTCTAGGGTAGGGTCCTAGCGTGAAGACCAGACACCCCACTCACAGGATGCTGACCTCCAAAGGTGCATTGTAGCCGGGTCAGGTAGTGAACAGATGTATTGTGAGAGCCCCAGCAAAGTTTTTTTCAGGTGCCAGGCAGGAACTGTAGCTTGCATGAAGTCTCCCAGCAGAGGTTGCAATTGCTCCCAGACACCCAACAGACTTTACGTAAATTCTAGCAGTTAAAAATTGTAACGGTTATAAACTTCAGTTTTTCCCTCCCTGGAGACATATGAGCTCTGCCAGCTGCACCAGCAGTTTGTAAATTCCTTGACCCCTGAAAACTTCTCTCCTGCAACTTGTAGATTCTTTCGCCTATCTATGCTCAAGCTGAAAAGTTCTGTGAACAGATTTAAAGATATTTCACAGAAGATATACATGGAAAAATTAAAGGGATTTGGTTAGCACAGAAACAAAATACTGCAAATTTCTTGGTGCACGTTACAATTAATACTTCACTTGTAACATATAAACATTTAAAAAACCCACTCTGTTAATCTTTATGCTAAATACTCACTTTTTGCTTTCCTCTTTGCTTAGACAATTAAATCAGTGGAAACTACTTCAGATTCTTAATTTCAGTGTTTGTATTTCAAACACTATAGAGTGGAAGTGGGCAAATACTGGCCCATGGGTTGGATTTGGTCCACCAGGGTTAGCCCACCAGGGGACCCCACATTTGCTTGCACCTCTGCAGATATGGGGGATTGCAGCTCACATTGGCCGCGGATCACCATTCCTGGCCAATGGGAGCTGTGATTGCTTGCACCTGTGGAGGAGCAGGTAAATATAGTGGCAGCATCCCACCAGAGGTTAACCCTGGTGATCCACCGCTGTTTTATTGCCCACCCCTGCCATAGAGGAATGTTTGTGGATTTTTTTCAAATTTTATTTTCCATTTTGGAAATTGTTCTGTTTCAGGTTCTAAAAAAGCATGTCAATGTTTTAATTTGGGCTGAATTTAACTAGACAATATTCCTTTAAATAACTGAGAGCTTAATTTCGCAGTCATTGCTTGAGCAAATCTCCTCTTAGTACTATTTTCTCTCTCATATATTGGTTTTACACCAGACTAACGCAAGGAGAGAGACAGAATTTGTGGATGTTTTGTTTGAGCAAGATTGCAGAAAAAGCCCATAAAAATAGGATTTCCCATCTCATATTGGGCTCTACTAGCATTACATCTGTGCATTGATTTAATTGAGCATGAGGGTCAGCTTTCGCATATGTCAAAGCAAGTTCAGGACCAAGAACTACAGACATGTAAAGTAAAACCAAAGGCCTCAATCTCATTGAGGTCAAATATGTAAAACAAGCTTGAGGCTTTTTGACCAATTTGTTTTTAAATTGTGAGTGGACAATTAAGGGTACGTTAAAAGTATTTCCCCACATCTTAACAAGCTGCCTGTTTTTTCTAAATATTTTTCAAAATAACAGGAATGCTATTTCGGCATCCCTGTAATCCTCATTACACAAGGGTTAAAGGATGTCTTGAAACAGGACATTATTTTGAAATTTGGCGCTGTGTAGACATACCAAATTTCAAAATAAGCTATATCAAAATAGAATCTAAATAAGAGATGCAATTTGTGTAGTGAAAATTGCATGTCTTATTTAGAGCTTAGTGTGCTGTGTAGCTGCACCCAAAGTGAAAAACTACTTGTTTACCTAAAACGTATAATTCAAAACCAGCTTCTTTGATTACAGGCAGTCCCCGAGTCACGCGGATCCGACTTAAGTCGGATCCGCAGTTACGAACGGGGCCCATCTCCCTGGTCTCCAGCAGACCAGGGAGAGGAAGCAAAGTGGCGGAGCACGCGGGCAGTGGACAGCCCAGACGCGTCTGGGCTGTCCGCTGCCTGTGTGCTCCGCCGCTTTGCTTCCTCTCCCTGGTCTGCTGGAGACCAGGGAGATGGGCCTCGTTCATAACTGCGGGTCCGGC